ACCGACTCTGCCGAGAAATCGATAACAGCCAGGAGATTCATTAAAGATACGCGCGTACAGAGGCTTTCACGCAGCATGAAGGATCGGTCCCTGCAGCCTCCTTACCGCCAGATCTCATATTAGACGCCGCATCCCTCCCGTTACCAGCTGTTCCGACGTTGAGTCAGCCTGACGACGAGTTAGCATACGTGCGTGTGTGTCTGCCCATCACGCAACCAAATTCTCTGCGTTTTAATATACTAGCCCTCTCTCTATCTCCAACTTTTCCTACTCGAAACAACACTTGCTGCACCATTCACCGAGCAAACTGATTCTCTCTCCCTTGCCTCGTGAAAAGAGAAAAACGTTCATCGAGAACGGAGATCGAAAGAATGTAAAAAGAAGCGTACGAATCGCGTCCGTTTCCTTTTCAATCTCTCGCACAGCCGGTGCGTTTCTCCGTTTCGACTCGCTGCGCGTCCAGGAAGCACGACGTAATAATACGTCATAAAGTCGCCGCGCATTTCTCTCCCTTTCTCTATGGATCCGAGTCGAGGCGGTTCGCGAACGCATTCTCTTACCTTAACGAAAGGGAGAAGAGAACGTGTGGCCTGGTTGGTTTCCACGGAATAAAAGTCCGCCACGCGGATTCCAAGCGGATGGACAGACGTTCCAGACGAAGAGAGATACACGTATAGAGAGAGAGAGAGAGAGAGAGAGAGAGAGAAAGAGGTTCAAGGCCAAACTGGTGAGAAGGGCCGTTTTTCGAAGGGCCGAGGTACCAGGTAAAAGGAAGTCGGACACCCGGAGGACCAAACGGAATGACAAATGCCTCGGTGGACGGTGAAGGGAAAGGTGAAAGGAGCGTCGAGGACGAGGAGAGACGACGACGGTCTCTCCCCGGGTAGAACAGTCCGCGTGGAATAGAATTCAGGTGTGCCTAACCACGAGATTGATATCGACCGGCTTTATCTATGGAAAAAAATCGTAGGTAGCGTTTGAATGCAACAACGAAACGTGTCCTGAGCACCAGCTTCTCCGAGGAATGTCTTTTCACCGTGAAAACTAGCCCTGTTTCTCTCCCCAATGCTCTCGATTTTTGTCCAAAGAGGAGAAAGAACGAAAAAAACAGAATAAAACTGGGAGTTGTTATTTTAATCCAGAGTTTCACCAACGCCTCTCCCTCTCAACCGTGAATAACGCAAGCAGCGAAATTACGGGAGAAGAAAAAAAAGAAAATAAAACGCAGGACCAGTCATGCGGCGCTGACGATGGACAGATCGATGGCGTGTAAATTCGGGGAATTTGTACATGTGCGTCGTCGACGAGACGAAAAATGGTGGCGAGCGGAGGCAAGCAACCGAGCGATCATCCTCTCTGCGCTCGACGACGAGGATTAAATGGCGGCGTTCAAGGGCACCGAACGAGGCGAGAGAGGCACACACGAGATAAAATCTCGGTGAAATTAAAATCGTAATACCCCGCGAGGAACGTTCGAACACGCTAGAGAAAGATCGGCCAGTGGAAAGAGACGAAGCGAACAGAAAAAATAGGAAAAAGAGAAAAGAAAAAGGAAACACATACAAAAAAGTACCTGAGATTTTAATCCCTGGCCATTGAGACGAGCGGGATAATTACGGCGGTAATATCGTGCAAAATAATAGCATCAAAAGTGCGGGATAATTAAATTCCCCTCGAAAACTCGAGCACCGTGCGTCGCGCGAAACCGTCTGTGCGCCAAACGACGTCGCTTCGTAACGGCGGCGCACGGTGCATCCCCTTTAAACTTTTGTCGAACCAGACGCACGCCCCCGTGAATTGTGTATAAATTTTACGGAATAACCAGCCTGGATTTTCGAGGTCAATGACGAGTCCGTGTGTAAACCATCCTCCTCCTCCTCTATCCCCCGTTTCGTACATTATTCGCCCAGGCGGTTTCATTTCGCCCTGTTTCTCGACGAAACATCCTGACCTTTCGTCAAACGGGGGCCGTTTTTTTCGTAGAGAAACCACGGGTTCCTCGTGAACACGATCGCCTGAGTCTAAGGAAAAGCCCCGAGAGACCGTGGAAACTTGGTCGAATCGTTCGAAAACTCGATGTCGTAAATTGGACCCTAAATAGGATTCTGTACAAGGTTTGTCGCGAAGGTTCCCGTACGTTTGGCCAGGTATTTAACGTCGAATACGAGGCAAACTCGACAAAGGTTCAGGTGAAACCTCTGACCTGGCTTTCCCAGAGAGAAAGATTTGGTATCCTTACCTTCTCCACCGATATTCCATCCGCGTTCGAACACGCTGGAAAGCAGAAGGGATAACCCATGAGTGTACAAACTTCCTGGAAAATCTACCTCGATGACGTGATATCGATGGAACGACCGTGATATTTCTTCTTACGCGTTTCTAGGTAAAACGCGTAGGATTAAACGGACGAGGAAACGTTTACTCCCTCCGAGAGGAGAAAAAAAGGCTGTCTGTAGAGAAGGTTCGAAGTTTGGAAAGGACCAAGTCTCGAAAGGAACAAAGGGGGACTTGGCGTAGTAGTTGGAAAGAATGGAGGAACAGGAGAAAGAGGGAGTTCAATTCTGTTCGAGACGGGGGCTCTGTACAACTTGTGCAAAATTTCAAGTTGGAAACTCGACGCCAGGGCGTTTCGCTTTGATCGTTCATCAAGTTCGACGCCGATGCGATGAGAGCACCGGACGGGAGAGAATGCGGCGGCGGCGGCGGCGGCGGCCGGGT